TTGGTGGCAAAATAAATTGAGTGTAAAATATTTATACATTTTTTTTTACAATTTTAAGTGAACATCTTGAAAGAAAATTCCATTCAAAATCATGGTATACAAAATATTCCTTTGGGCTATATAACTGTATGAGAATAAAACACAAGGGAATTTAATCTGTACTGGGAAAACAAAAATGTAACATCTGGTGTATATATATATTTTTTGGCTACACAACTCAACAATAATCCTCAGAACTTGGAAAATCTATTGTTTAGGGTTTATTTTCAATTGTAAGTCCCAATACGGTTATTACTGTGCAAAGCACTTCACTGTCGTATTTCTGTACCGTAATGTTTTATTCCCTTGTATACAACAAAAAAAACCCGTAGAGCTATATGTACACATACAAAGCAATCCACTCGCATATAATGTAAAACACTTCGGGTGACAAAAACCTCAAAGGCAAAAAAAAACCCCTACATTTATAACACCACAAACCAATAATGTCATTAGATTGAAAAATATATATATAGCAAAGAAACTCACCACCAAACTTGGCTATGAAGTGGGACCATCATTATACGTTTTAAAAAGCATCTCAACAGGCTCGAAGCACGCACGAGTCTAATGTACTCTTATTTTACACGATTTTGGAGAACAACGAATACGCCTTGCATAGATTCAGTGATTGCATCTGCCTAACTTCATAGAACTGCTCATGTTTACGCATAATCTACCATTAAATGCAAGTACTTGCGTTGCCCAACTTAAAGCAATTCAAAAGCGTGGCGAATGACTGCTGTGAAACCATTGATAATAATTTCATACGCAGTGCCAGTCAACCAGGCTCAATGCTCATGTGCTGTAGCCGCATCTGCCGTAACATTGTGCTTTCCCCCATATTTTTTTCGCAGCAACTAAAATTCTCTGTACTCCCACAATAGCCATGTGTCTGGTTTAAATGCGATAAGGCTGCGTTATTCTACAAAGTGAAGTCAGGATGACCTATTATGCCACGTGACTTGGTCCGTTGCTTCCCACTCCGGTTATACAATAATTACGATACACATCGTGTGTACTCGAACAACAACCGGAATCCATTACATTAAACTGTGCAATTATGGCTAATTACCACATGAAAACCTGCAGACAAACCGATGATCGATGCAAGGTTGCAAACCGCCTATTCCAGCAATGGCAGCTTTCAAAAGAAAAACTCGTCCGATAGTATAATACATTGTATGGCTTTTATACATTACAGTATATGCTTAAAGTGTAGCTTATAATGAAAATCACAAAAAAACACACTTTCCACCCCTTAATTACAAACAACCCATACATTATCAACCTCTTCTCGTACCATATAATTTATTTTAAATCACAAATACTGCAAGGCGGAAACCTTTTCGTACGGAAATAGAAGGGTTTAGTCAGTTACATTAACCCTGTTTTCGTGGCCGAGGAAGGGGCACGCTTTCCATACAAATCGGATCTCTCTCTCCCCTGCCAGAATTTGATGGAAACAAATACTCTGGAGGTGAATCGCACACAAGCAATTCCTGTCGTGGCACTTCATCGGGTATTCAACTCAAAACTGCGTCAGTCAAAACACATTAACAGCTCTATTCTTGGTTCTTTCGGTAAAGTCACCACGTAGAAGGGAAACAATAAAATAATACAGATATAAAACAATAAAATTCTCATGACGTTTCGACTGCAACACAAGCAACCATCATCAGGTGTGAAAACCACAGCAAGAAAAAATTGGTTTTCACACCTGATGATGATTGCTTGTGTTGCAGTCGAAACGTCGTGAGAATTTTATTGTTTTATATTTTTATTATTTTATTGTTTCCCTTCTACGTGACTTTACTGAGAGAACCAAGAATATGAATCCCTGCAGTCACGAAAGCTTTAAATCAAAACACATTAACAGCTCTCTATAACCACAGTGAAGAGACATTGTATAATGCATGCATGTCTGTTTTATATTAATTTTCTCTAACTTTAGTCCATGTCCTTTGTGAAATTTTAACTGCACAACCCATTCTGCATACAGTGAGGGAAAAAAGTATTTGATCCCCTGCTGATTTTGTACGTTTGCCCACTGACAAAGAAATGATCTGTGGAGGGAGCTGAAGGTTCGAGTTGCCAAACGTCAGCCTCGAAACCTTAATGACTTGGAGAAGATCTGCAAAGAGTGGGACAAAATGCCTCCTGAGATGTGTGTAAACCTGGTGGCCAACTACAAGAAACATCTGACCTCTGTGATTGGCAACAAGGGTTTTGCCACCAAGTACTAAGTCATGTTTTGCAGAGGGGTCAAAAATACTTATTTCTCTCATTAAAATGCAAATCAATTTATAACATTTTTGACATGGGTTTTTCTGGATTTTTTGTTGTTGTTATTCTGTCTCTCACTGTTCAAATAAACCTACCATTAAAATTATAGACTGATAATTTCTTTGTCAGTGGGCAAACGTACAAAATCAGCAGGGGATCAAATACTTTTTTCCCCTCACTGTACTAAGCCACAATTGAATGAGAAAGCAATTTAAAACACACACATGCAATGTCTTAGCTCATGGCAACTAAAAGAATGGGACAGAAAGATGTTAGGAACACAAATGCGATTACAAAATGTGGACCACATTTTTTTTATGCATCACAGGCAGTGGACAAGCATATTGCACACAAAGAAGACAGTGTGGGGTCTGGATTCAAAATGGGCTATTGATTCTTCTGAACTGCTTCATCTCAAGCTGGCATTTGCCAATGATGTGGCGCTATTCAACCGGTAATGGTGAATGGATGTATTTGCTTCCTTTCAATTTGCCACCTTCAAAATCTCTCTAATGGAAACATCTTCTCTTCCTCCCATAACAAACTAAAGGTTCTCATTGAATGCACCCTGCTCAAGTTGGATGCAGGTCGATATGTAATGTGTCATTTCACGCTTGTTGAATGTGCTGGTCTTGGGAGGAAAATATTCCTTTCTTTAAGATCCTCGGTGAGAAAAAAATAAATCTCTTCCCCTAGACCAAGTCCAAGGAAAACAAGATGCTTGAGCATCGCAGGTCATCATCATTGGCTTTAGTCGATCCACTGCTGCATGGAGGGCTCACCAAAGCACTGCCAATTCTCACGATCCTGCGATGTAACAATCCACCTAATTCCTGCACACCACGAGCTGATCTCAGCGCTCCACCTCCCCGGTAGGCGTTACTCTCGAACGCATATCGCAAGTGCAAAGAATTTGGGCCAATTTCTAGGTTAAATTATTCATATGAACAGCCTCTATTTCAAAACAGGTTGTATAAAATTTCATTCATGGAAATATTCTCAATCTCACACTACATCTAAAGCCTGAATGTCAGAATTACCAACTAAGGCTAAGATAAATGACTATGACTATTTTGTAAATGGGCCTTTTTAACTAAAATGGAGAGGGAGTAGACCTTCATAAACAGGACGATGGAAATTCACAGGAAAGTGACCCAGTCCATCATTGCTTAACGGCAGTGTGATCTGCACATTTTGGAAGTATTTTTTTTAACTGCAAATGTCAAAATATTAAAATGCATGTGATTTAATCTGTCATATGAATGGCACCTTCCAGAGCACCTTGCAATGGCTCTTCAGTTGTGCCGACTCTCGCACAAGACCCGTCACCATCAGCTGCAGAAATTTAGAAACACTGACACTGCAGTCACTCATTAGACTGCATGACTCGGGACATTTTCAGCCATCCACCTTATTACAAGAATCTATGCGTGATGATGATGATGTGTCCTTTGACTGAAGCTAGACTCACTGGCTACATGCTGACAAGCCTGACACCTTTCATCTTTTGCAGGATGTTGACATCCGTGCCGATTGGCAGTGCCTTAAGCTAATGACTATCATTCATATTTCACAATTTGTTGAAAACACCGTGGTTTCATCAATAATATGAAATGTATTAATGTGAAGGGAAGATAACGAGATTAGACAATGCAGTAAAGTAGTCCCAAAAAAGCAACTACTGTGCTATGCCACGAGGGGCCACCGTAATCATTTCTGCAGTTAACACTCACATTTATTTAACAGGATAATAATAATAATAATCAATTTGAGTAGGTAGCATGCACCCATGCAATAATGTAAATTCAAAACATTTTTCCGCCATGATCATTCAACAATTCATTTGTTGCCAAAGCGCAGGCATGCTCTGATACGTGCATACTGTATTACCCTTTGTAGTCGAGCACATCCATTTTTGTGGGATTCGCAGCTATACAAATGAAAGCTTGAAAAGCTGTCCAAAATGCCTGGTATTGAGTGGTGATGCCCGATCTCGGGGCATTCAAGTGCTTCTCAGGAAGAGTGTTTTTATAGCAAGAGCCAACAGAGCACACTCTCTTGACACTGAAAATGCACCTACAGCCTTGCTGTGCCAATTTCTTTTGAGTCGTCTCATCCGTTACGGAGCCTGCACAGGCTACGAAGCTACCGTGTGCCTGTTCCCACCCCCACCGCCATTGAGTTTTTGGGGCTCCACGAGTTTTGCAGATGCTTTAGCCAAAGTAAAACATCTTATTCAAGACAATGCCCATGACTCACTATGTGGCAGTGTACAGATGACATCTCTCTGAGGCTGCCTTTGGACTACATTCAGCTAGATCAACGTTCTTGAAGATATCCTGCGGCATTCTGTGTAAGACAAGCACCCTTTGTATGCATCAAACACAAAGAGGAAAGCGCAGATGTGTATATGAACAGGAAACCCTAGCATGAAAATGGATGAAAGGTACTAATTTAAAATAACTGACCAAACATCCCAGTTGGTAAATAAGTCAACTGAATCATTACATCACGGTGGTGAGATGTTAACTACCTTGCCTGGTATGCAGGAGATCATGGTTCGATCCTGACCCTGACGCCTGTATATTTGGAGTTTGCGTGTTCTCTCCGTGATGGCGTGGATTATTCTCCAGGTCCTCCGCTTTTTTCCCTCCACAATTAGAAACGTGCATTTAGAGTATTTGGCTGCTCTAAATGTCCACGTGATAAGCCACTTCACTGAGCTATTATTTGTGGCCAGGTCGCTTCTGAAAAAGAGCTATATAGCTCAGTGGGTCTTACCTAGTAAAATAAAAAGTAGTTTATGGTTTACAAGTCGTCGTTTGTTAAATGCAGAATTAAAAACAGAGTTGCGCAATATTTCCTCATCAAAAATTTACCACCGTACCACAGCAAATAAAACAGTGGCATCCCCTACTGAATGCAAGGCGACGAGTGCCTTTGTCGTGCGATTCTCCTCCACAGTCTTAATCCGCAGATCCTTGGTGGGAGAGAGAGAAAGAGTGTGACCAGCTCCTATCGGTGGGAAAAATGGTCTCGGCACCTTGGATGTACAAAAAAACCTACAGTATCAAATATAATCTTTTAACAAAAAGCCTTTGAAAAATATAACATTGGAAGCAGCAATTTAAATTCACACCTTAAAGCAAACCTGACTGGATGTTCAACCCCAAAAAAATCCCCGACAAGCACAAATGTGCATTAACACACAAAGAACAGCCCATGGCTTATTTTGCCATTACATGCCTTTGCCGTTCCAACAGATAAAAACTAAAAACTATACTTGTGCTTATAAGTCCAAAGTAGCCAAACCGTGACCATGCTGTATTATCGTATAAATATAGTTAGTAATAAATGGAATGTAAAAATCAATGTTTATCGCTTTAACAGAAAAAAACATTTTCAAGTATTCCCACAATGTAAAATTCTGAAAGTGCCAAATGCTCAGCCTATTCCTGCTTGCTTAAAGAGTTGTGGAAATTATAAATGTGGTTACAACAGTTAAGGATATTTACACAAAACAGCATGGCAGAACTTTTGGATATTTTGGATGTGGGAGGTGAAATATAACATCTGGCCAAACTATCATTATAGCAATCATTGAATGCATATCACCTTTACTCTATCTCATGCTTTCTTTGGTACCATCTTGAATTGGTTTTAGACCGTTTATGACATAAGTTATGCAAATGTCTATCAAAATTAAAAACATAACCTCTACATAATAATGTATATTCAAGATCTTCCAAGAAGCTCCACATGGAACAACACCAGCCTCAGTTGTGTTTAGCTTTTTGTCCTTTCATGTAGCCCAGCCATCGGCGGACGGTCTCCTTGAAGATCGGCGCAGGGTCGATGGAGGCCAGCAACTGCAACTGGTTAATGTGCGTCGTGTGGTAGTCCCAGCGGGCCAGGTTGGGCGCGATGCCCAGCACGAAGTGCCGCAGGTCGTAGATGGTGCCCGCGCCGGAGTCGTAGAGGGGCAGCAGGGCGCGCAGCGACTCCATGCCGCGCTGGAAGAGCCGTCGCGCATCCCCGCCCTCCGCCTCGCCGGCCGTTTGGGTGAGGTCGTACAGGCCGATGAGGGAGTAGATGAAGCCGTTGAGGACGAAAGAGCTCGGCGAAGTGGGGTACTCCTCGTACCAGTCGTAGCGGTTCATGAAGACTGCCTTCACCCCGCCGTCCTGCCAATGAAAAAAAAAAAAAACACAGCGCAGCATTTCAAGGAATTAAGGCGCTGCTTTGAAAATCAATATTTTGTGATGGACACACTTTTAATAAGGTTGCAAAGTACATTAAAAATATACCTCGAGGAGCAATTAAAATAGACTTACATAACAGCCGAGATTACTTTTAGCTGCAGAGTGCACGCGCAATACCAGAAATCTAATTAAACATGACGACCTAATTATTTATTTCTTCATAAAAACACCACAGCACCCACATTCACGAAGCACCGATGCCTAAGTTATAGCCCGGCAAAGAAGATTCACCTGCGATGCAATCGTGAAGGGACCCGTTGCTCTGAGAGCAGCACGCAGGTATCGCTCGTCCCTCGTGAGGCGGTAGGCCCGGACAAGTATGGACATCGCCTGACCCTGTGCCATCGCGGAGTACCAGCCGGGTTCCAGTGGCCGAAAGCCCTCCCCGAGCCGGCGCGTGACGCCGATGGGCCAGCCTCCCTTGCCGTCCTGGTTGCGGATGAGCCACTCGCTGGCCGCGAAGAAGGCCGCCATGTGCGCGGTGGTGGCCAGGGTCACATTGTCGACCGCCCCTTTCCCACGCAGCGTCACTCTGCTGACTTTGCGGATCAGTATCTTGGTGGGCTTCACGGCTTTGGTGTTGGAGAGGCCCACCCCTTTCTTGAGGTCTGTGAGGAGGTCGCGGGTGAGGGTGCTCCACACGGTCCGCTCTCCGATGCCGTAGTAAATGTCTCGCTCTTTTACGTGCAGGAGCTGCTTGTTCGTGACATAGTGTATCGTGTACCGCTTCTCAGTGGTCTCCAGCTCAACGGAAATGCTGCCGTTTGACTGAAACTTGACGTTCAAAGACAGCATGAAGTCCTTGGTGTTCTCGAGTGCACGGGAAACCCCTTTTGACGACTCTGCAGTAGAAGACGGAATGCAACTCAACTGATATGCATTGGTCACTTAAAAAGACAGCCGCAACCTTTACGCAACGAGGTGAAAGTTACGAAAAAAACAATGGTATACCCAGGCTTCACATGTATGTTACATTATTGTCTCATAATAATGATAAGATAATTCATCGAATGAAATCATTTCACCGGGTGAGAACTCATTGAAGCAAACATTGCTTTTGCAATGTAATGCGATTCAAACGTAAACCCGCAGAGCTATGAAGTAAAAAAAAACATTCAGTTGCTCCTGTTATAGATCTCGCAGTTCTATGTTAGGCCTGCATTGTAATTAAAATGCAAGCATGGATTCACATGCATGTTAAATAAATATAGTGCCTCAAGGCGAGCAAAATACTCAAAGCTCCAGCAAAGTGTGCACAGTAACCAGACGCGTACAAAATAACGGGAGATTTCTCTAAGCTTGGCAACTTGTTGACAAGGGGATTGAAATAAAATTAACCGAGGGATTTGACGCAATGCCAGCAGGCAAGACTCCATAAGCTTTCAGGAAGAAGCAGATGGGCCGTCCTCACAATCCCTGCTTAATACATGACCTCAAGGATTGCGGAGTAGGACAGCAGTAAACGCTTACCTGCTGTGGCAAACTGCTTGACGTCGTTTGCTCGCTCCCGGTCCATTACGCTGATAAGTGAGCAGCCACCAGGGACGTCCCAGTGCGAGGGTCCACCCTCCTCTCCGGTCTCGTAGACCTCCACGCGAGGAGCTTTCTCGGTCAGGTTTTTGCTGAAGTGGCTCAGGCCATACTGGGCTATCTGGATTGGGTAGAAGTAGCCCTGTGGACCCCACTGTGTTGATATTGGCACACCTGCACGACAAATGTTAGAAGATGTACTTTTGATATCAAGAAACGGCAAAACGAAACTCAACTTAAATAAAACCTAACAAAATGTACATTAAATTTTGATTTAAAGCTTTCGTGACTGCAGAAATTCATATTCTTAGTTTTTTCGGTAAAGTCACGTTGAAGGGAAACAACAAAATAATAAAATATATATAACAATAAAAAAAAAATCTCACGACGTTTCGACCATAACTCAAACGGTCGTCTTCAGGTGTGTTGGTTATGGTCGAAACGTCGTGAGAATTTTTTATTGTTTTATATATATTTTATTATTTTGTTGTTTCCCTTCAACGTGACTTTACCGAAAAAACTAAGAATATAAAAAATGTACATTGTACCATACATGTGTATGTACTTATCAAAGTGACTTTCTGAAAATATTTTCTCGCTTAAAGACGATTTTTTTTCCTCCCACAGATGTGGTCATGATGAATTGCTAAGAAACATTAACCACGTTTTATTTTCAGCACTTTTTTAAGCGTTCCATCAGCAATATACATCAGGCTAAACTACACCTATAAACCAGACCTCAACACAAATCAATACCTTCAAACGCAAGGACTAGAATCTTAAAAAGGTTACCTCTTGCTATCGCATGTTGTGAAAAATCAAACGTTTTTTGTCCATATTTTTTTCCCCCAACACCCCTGGGAAATATTATAGTAACGTTAAATTAGATTTCCTAGAGACCTTTTTAATGTATTCTACATCATACCTTGATGACATGCACAGTTTAAGTTGAATCGATAGTAATGATATTCTGTAACCTTAATGGATGTCGAGAGAGCTCATGACAGCTTTAGAATGCTGTGCTTTATTTTCCACAAGGTTAAAAAAGCAGTCAAATCAATGAGAAAAACCCCTTGTTCCATAACAGAATAGAGTACACATCGCAGGACTACTTAAATGATTAAATGTGCTCATACAAACTTTTAAACATTTACCTTTTTACTTTTTAATAAGCCTTGAAGTCGGTAAATCAACGTAATAGACATTTGACATATTATGCAGTTTTTCTAAAAAAAAATTGGTATGTAAATGTTTTCTGACATCCAAATTAGATTACATTTATACGCTTGACATGTGTTTTCAGCTCACTTCTCGACATTCTTAGCTTTCACAGATAATTTACTGAGATTGAACCGAAATATCAAACTGATAATGCGGCTAATGATATTTGACAAAGCAGTGCACGCATTTTTTTAAAGTCATACAGACCTTCCACTCCACTGATGCACTTGACACGGTCTCGAACTTCCACATTGTAGCCCTCAAAGGACATGAAGACGCCATCTGGCTTGTACAGGTCCTGCTGGTTGTACACCTTCGAGTAAGAGTGTGAGAACTCAAACCTCTCAAAGCCATCGTATGGGACGATCTTCCCGTACACCTCAAAATACTTCTCCACCCAGCTGAAGGGCAGATAGACATCGCTGCCTTCTCGACGGCCCTTGACAGTGTAATCATCATTGACAACACAATCGATCTCTTCGTACTTGATGCCGAGGGGCTTGCCTGCGTTCGCGGGTTTGAGCAATGGGACGAGCGACACCACGGGCACAGCCGGGGGCTGGTGGCGCATGTCACCATTCCCTTGGCCGGGTCCGCCATCCGCAACGACAGCCGGCTGCATTATACCCTGAGGGATGTCATTGGGGTCGGCGTGGGCCACCGCATCTCCCAGCACAGAGCGGTGGTGTCTGTCGGGCTCCTTGCCCGTGCCTAGACCCTCCAAGACGTGCGTGCTCTCTGTGCCACATTTGTTCCACAGCAGGATGGTCACCAAGGAGAAGAGAGCGCAGATGACGATCAGGGACCGATAGTTAACGCGTGCCGCCAAGCAGCGCATGTTGGGACTGTATCTGAAAGGCAAAAGTAAAAGCACCGCGATCAATGTCCCCGCCCCAAAAATAAGCCCGCACTGCACTGCCTCAACACTGATTCGGTGAAATTCGCATACTGTATTGTTTTCAGATTAGCGTAACTGTTTCGTGTAGTATTATTATCTTAAACTATGAATGTTACATAAAACCTAACATTCTCCAGCGCCTGTGAAATAAGGATGCCAAAATACCAGCAACACTTACGAAAGTGTTCGCATCTGCCATGCTAAAGCAAGTATCGGCTTGCCTGTTACTCTCACACTAAACAGTACAGCATACCACTCCTGTTACAGGCACGATTTGTCTTGCAAGGCACCTTAAGAAAACACTCTGCCAAGCCACATAAAAGCAAGCATAATCATTTCCAGACAATTATAACATTAAATATTCTTTTTTATAGCCCCCATTACCAATTACGGAAATTCAGAGTTATATAATTCAAAATTATACGAATATCAATGCATGGTTTTAATACAGCAAAATGCCAAGATCTGAATGCCATCAATGTGCTATTATAGAAAGCATGTTTGCTCATTCACTTGAGTTCCACATACAGATTTGGACTTTCATCCACGAAAGCCCAAATCTGTCAAGATTTAACCTTGGGCTCCAGTACACATGTCTGTGCAAACAGTATGTACACATAAAGAATGCTATGTATGTATAACAACAACAAAACAGTGGTCTTTCTCAGAGTTTAACTCATCCCACCATTTTTGCTTGCAAAAACGTACGACAGCATATTGTTAATTTTTCAAACGTTTGCATTACAATGGAGACTTGGCAAATGAAAAGTACAAATGTGTGACAGTTTCACGAAATGCAAAATGACAGCAAGAATCAAAAGTTACATTTAAACATAAGATAAATAGATAAATGGTTGTATCTAATTGTATTTCACATGGCATAACATAATGGCCTCTGCCATTGTAGCGAAAGAGCGTCGGGGCTGATCATCTGTTGGACAGTCCACTAGTCCAATGGACAGTCAGGCAAGATCTTAAATCAAACGCTGGAATGTGTAAACGCTAATGATTAACACTGCAGAGGGCAATGGGCTTGGCAGTGAAAACACGACACAGAATGTAAAAAAATTGCTTAAATATTTTCAGGCACAAATATTCCACATTAAGAGAAAATACATCAAAGGGGTTTTTGTGTGTGTGTGTCTGCAAATGAAGCCAAGCTGATTATAAAATGTTTGTCAAGGTTCCGAGATTCCATTTGGATGCCTTGCCGTGTGCTAAAGCAAGCACTCATAGCAAGAATAACATTTAAATTAAGCATTACGGGAAGACAGGATCGATGATGGTCGAGTTAATGAGTCCCCAAATAAAATCTATATCGGCCACTGCGGATCTCCTGGAGGTACTGGGAAGTGCTCGCCGTCGAGTGGGCAGCGAGCGAGCTGGCTCAGCGAGACGAAACGTAGGACGCCGAGTGAATCCGTCGGCGCCGGGTGGTAAAAGCAACCAACCCCCCCCCCCCCCCCATAGGGCCGTTCGTGCCATACTGCCTTTGCGGCACCAGACTTCACCCCTACAATACCGTGAGCGCAAGCCATTATTCAATAAGTCTTAAATGGATTATAGCAAAGCATCGCATGTACTTTAATGCTCTTTCAGTTGTGCAAGAAAATCCTACGTATTAAATGACCATGTAAGCTACTCCAGTGATTTTTTTTTAAATGTTCATTTCATCACGGCACAAAGGAACAACATCTAAATGTATCGCACACAAAAACCTGGAGTAGGTATGAGAGCAGATCTAAACCCTTCATATTTCTTTACCCTACAAATGTCTTTATAGCTGAAAACAGACAATTTTTTTGCGATATCGTGCTTTATAATTATTTACTTTGGTTGACCTTAGGCTTTCCAATGCCTTTGTGATGATCTCTGACACAAATTGCTTTTCAGTCAATTTCCTATCCACATACAATCCATTGCTATTACACTCATGGGTGCTTACAATATATGCTCCTCCTACGAAGTAGGAAATATTAGGCATCTGCACGCATGGTCCACATTTAGATTCATAGCAGTAATGCACACAATCCGCTTACCCTTGCGAGGGTAATCAAATTTTGAATGTGCTGCACAATCATTCCAACGGCATTCACTAAAACACCTGTTACGTCTCTGTGAACCCAAATTCAAAGGGCGATTAAAAGAGGAAAACAATATCTAAATGGGTTTTTTTTTGTCTACACGTGTTAAATGTATAACCACCGCCGTTTCCATCAACATACACGGTGTTTAAAAAAAAAACCCTGAAACTTAAACACACATCCAACTGTGCATGATGCTGCATTTTGTAACTTAGAGTAAAAGTGCTCTAAACACAAGGATTCCCTTGTGAAAAAGGCACACATGAAAAACCGTGCATTCAGCAAAGAGTGAACTACTCTTTGCCGAGGATGAGAACCTACTGTCACAACTGCTTGCAGATAATTAAGAAGGCTTTCGACAGAAAATTGGTTGCAGACACAAGCACGCATTGGGGACATGTAGCAGCATGCCAACGTAAACACGCGTATAGAAGTGGAAGACACACAACCGTACACACTAGCGCACACGTGTGTACAACGAGCACATGATGATGCACGCCGACAATGCGTGCACACTCATAGTTCTGGCACTCGAGTGCATACAGACAATAAAATATTCAAATGCTTCCATATGCTTGCACACAAACACGTGCACTCACACACACACACAGCCCGTATGAGCGCAAGGTTGAATAAGCCCATATGCCCCGAAGCGCATACATGCTCCGAAGCACTTACAGTAAAAAAGAATACACGTTCCCATACATAACCCTAGAGTACCAACTCAGCTGAAAGCACAAAGGGTGTTTATCTATGCCTGCTTCACACATATATAGTACTCTGCATATACACATTGCATGTACCACATATTAAGACATTGTACTCACAAAAATAAACTAAGCTTATAGACCACGGCGCAAAGTTCCCGCAAAATTCGGATGTCAAAAAGACACTTGATGTTTCGAGACATCACTCAATGTCGTAGCAAGCTGTCATTACAATACGAATTTGCATCCCGAAAAAAAATGGTATTAAGCATGCAACAGTTCCTTTCACGCAATATGTTCACCCCCCCAGAAAAACGCAGATATTTCCAAACAAAAGAATTCCTGCACAAACATAAAGACGCCTAATCTCTCAGCATATTTCTGAGACCAAACAATGCCGCGACCCAGATGTATTTCGTATGTGGTGATGCACGGTCGACTGGCGGAGCGTCATATACATTTTTCAGCAACGTTCATTTTAATGTGATACTGTCACAGCACTGCCAACTGGCATTTGTCTCATCGTACATTACCTTGGAATGGCTGATCAGGCAGAATGTCGGGTTGTATGCGATATTTAATACCCAGGCGTCCCGATGGCTCCTACCGTGATGGATCGCTCGCGAAAAGCTCTGCTCTCTAGTGCATGCTCAGCGGAAGGAATCGCGTGACATTAATCGCGATGCCTTGCAGCCCATTTTCTGTGTTACTAGCGCCATTTAATCTCGTGCACATTAAAATTAATAATTAAAGTGGGCATTCTGAAATAAAAGCTACGAAAAAAGTTAATGCATGAGCCAATAACGAAACAGTAAATGAAAATATTTTACCGGCAATGGCATGGTACCGAGTTCAACAAATATTACCTAAACAGTGGCTCATGTGAACGACTGTCCAAACACCCCCAAAGACAAACGTGAATTATAATTCCAGTCTGGTATTTTGTATAAACACACGCACACCACGAACAATTGTTTTATGTCTAGCAAAGATATTTAACTAAGCGCAATCGCCTCCCCAGTGGCTCGTAATCACTGCATGGAGACTCCACACAAAAATGTTGTGACAAGGTGAAAATTGGGGGGGGAGCGAACACAAACCACGAAACAGGTGTATTGAAGAAGCATACCTTTGAGCAAAGATGATAAATCCGTGCCATTTCCCCAAGCCCAAAACAGCAATCAGCTCGATAACAATGGCAGATGGCAAAAGCTAATCAACTGAACGTAATGGTGCAAAGATGGCTTGAACACAAAAAAGAAACTGATGCACATGAATAAAAGCACATCAAAGCAAAAAAATGTCAAAAATATGCAGATGAAAATGTTAGATTCACAACAACAACAAAATCTGGGAGAGTCTCAGTTTAACAAGCATGAGCTGCAGGCACTGATGTGTAATGTTTTGACAAAATTATAAGTTTCAACTTTTTTTCCCGCAGGAATCCCACCGAGGCAAACTAACACTAAACGGCAATATACACTGCCATCATTAAATGCTGAATTCATTCTGTGATACATGCCCACATTATAAGTGTGTGTGTGTATAGATAAAACATGAAACCGCAAATACATTTCCAATGATTATATAAATTTAGTTTGACAGGACCCGATCACTCTTTCCTCTGGCCACCTATTCATATTACTCGCGTCACTGACGCTACAATGAACTGAATGGGCAATCCACAATGCATATATTATACAAACTATGACAGATTCTCGCTAGATCCTACAATAATCCGCAAGTGCAATAATCCGTGAGTGCTAGGAATTTTCAAACAACACAATGGTGTCAAGTGATTACAAAACGGGAACACTTTGTTCTGTCTCATGGTCATATTATTAGTTTAAATGTTTTACATGTAATTAAAATTTCACTATGGTTGGGGAGGAGAAATCCAATATTTTAGGTAGCTATACGTGCAGAGGTTGCATACAATGGGAGTCTAAATGTATTTGTGAATTCAATTTACATGGTACTTAGATGTATAAGCAGAATTATTTTGGAATTATAAATGTCTCTATATCCGAGATGTTTAAATTAAATCAAGGAAACACAGCATTTAAGTAAAATATAGACCACTTAGAAATAATTTGAATGCTAACTAACAATTAGACTAATGAATCCCAATGTCAATCGATATCTATGACAATTACATTACAAAATTCTAAAACAAGCACTTGAGTAGTGCTGGCCATTACATTTGTTCCAGTGGAAGAGAGAACATACATTCAGTGGGACTGCTGTAAATCACGGCAAATACTTCCGTGCGCAGGTAGTCAAATAAATACAAGGAGATGAGAGGGAGGAGCAGATATCAGGGTGCAAAGTACAATTTATGAACCTGCCATATCAAGTGAAGCTTGTAAAACTGGCAGTAATAGAGGGGACATTGAATGCAATGCTCCGACGATGTCTTAAGATTTTTTTTGCTTCATTGACAGCGTACATCAACTCAATGATAACTGCTACCTACAACGCCCAAAATTACATATCTCTGAAAATGAAGTTACTGCATTCGATTTAATCTGCCACCAAACTACAAGCACACTGCTTTATAAGGAAGACCTATATTACTTACCTTTTAGCAGGCATGGTGAAACTCAACAGCACGGTAGATATGACATAAATATGACTGCCTATGCAGAAAATGAAATATGTTAAGCATAAAAGGTTCCCAAATGTACCCCACAGAGCACCACCCTGCCAGCATCCAACAAGCTTGCACACCGCCTCAAATGAATCAGTTTCACCGCAAGAATCAGAAGTGTTTACTTGGCATGGTCACTGAAAAAAACCTGCCAAACGCCTCGATGACAGGGGCTGCTGCGAACGCAGAGAGCCGTCATTACCGATACTTTCTTGGTCATCTCAAGCCATGCTGAACTAAAGAAGCAGAATGGGAAATATGGCCCACTGGATGTATGAGTTCTGCAGGCATTTATGAACCGCAAAGAAGTTATGAATTGTTTCGTAACAATGTAATGTTGGAGAAGAGTATTCAACCATTGCCAATGCATAAGCATTATTTAAAAGAGAAAGGCTTTGCCAAATAAAATATAACACGAGATGGCATGTGACATTTTTTTTTTTTAGAGAATTACAAATGTGACTTATTAGACACATACACATATCCCCATATAGCCTCAACAGCCTGTTGGGGAAAGTGCTGTTGGCGAGCACTTATGAAGACCGGCACGGCACATGAGGAGGTCGGTGGCCAGTACCGCAGCTAATGTATCCTCAGTGGCGATGTTTACACACCGCACCAGGTACTCATTTGAGGCCAACTCGAAATAGGGGAGGGCCCAGGATCGGTTGAGCAAATCGTCACTGGTGTTGGCTGTGAGCGGAAATTGAACTTGGGTCGCTGGGCTCGGAGCACAACACGCTAACCCGCTACAGTCCTGCTCCTCACACACGCGTACAGTGTATACCAGTAGACATTATTTTTATATGGGTCGAGCAGTGGCAATCACCTGGAATGTTCCCTATAATTAGACCGTGGACGCTAAGCCGCATTGAGCTGGGATCATGCTAGGATGGGTAACCAGAGTCGTGGTGACCACAGTCACCCATCCCTACACCTCCGATTATCACGGTTGGCTATGTACGGTATGAAAGAAGTTCAACATACATACGGAGTATTCAGTAGATAGGTGCAACAAGCATTGTGGGCAGTGCAGAAAATCCATTTTTGTTCCGCACTCCTCCCACGTTCACCAACCCACACTGACCACCGTGGTGAAGTACAGTCAAAGATTCCCTCACGGCCCAGGTGTGGGGGAGGTCCTCATCCAGCAGTGGACCGGCAAAAACGGTATATAATACATGAGGTGACAGTGGCTAGTGGACCATATTACGAATCCAACGATCCGAGTTAAATTCCTGGCCATGACTAACATTGGCGGCGAGTCATATGTGGACCTGCCCTGGGATCACCGTTCACCAGTCCATTCCAACCAGCATGGTGAAGTATGGTCAAACCCTCATGATTGGCACAGTGCAGGGAGGCTTTTTACCTAGCTATTGATTAATAAAAGGGTTGAAGTAATAATTATCATGAAATTCAGGAATGTAGAAGTAATTTTTCCCAATCAGACTTTTTTAAGCGTGAACACAAACCGTTCAATAATATTAGCAATGCATTCATTGCTTTCAATTTATATTCAACTTACAATGCCCATTTCATGCTGAATTTAAATGAATCACATGATTCTGTCCTACCAACAGTGCTGTTCATCTTTGCAGAGACTCTCCTTCCAAAAAATATGCACATTTTTTTTTAGAAAGTGTGTCTTTTGACAAAAAAAACCCTCCATAAATTAAACCAAGCAATCACATTAGATAAAATAATGCAAGGCCATCTTTGTCTTTCCCGGGCTCAATATGCATTTCCGTAGTTGTAATTTGGCAACGGGATATTCCCAATGGCAGTGGGTGTACGATTTGCATATATACAGGCAGATTCAATGGCTGCACTGGTGCTGAGTGATATGAAGCTAGACAACATCTCGCCTGACATCGTGTCCATGGAAACCAAAGTAAATACCTGCTCATCGGTGACACCAGGGCCAGCAAAGCTTATTCAACCTGACAAGGGAGGTGTTTGGTTGCCGTTTACTTGATATAACCTGGTAAAGGTTTTATATCTGCGGGCAGTGTAAGCCAAAGCTCACAATCAACTTTCATCATTATCAACTTGAGACTTTTCCTTCCGCCATTTCCATTTGGGAAAGAAAAAAGGCCGAAATGTTGCGGTAAGAACACAAATGTACGAGTAAACACATACAATAACAAAATTCAGGACTTACTTAATGATGGTAGCAATACATTTTTTTTAAAAAAGATCCCACTAACAGCCTTGTTACGAAAACCAACAATATCATCACCGATTCGACATCTTTAATCAAACCAACCAAGCGGTTTTCCTTAAAACCCTCTACTGCTAGACCACCCAGAGTGTATGGGTTACCTAAAATCCATAAAGAAGGTACACCCCTTTGTCCGACCGTCACCACCATTGACTGACCCACCTACAAACTGGCCCGATTTATGTCTGAGCCCTTTCAACCCATTCACTGGTAAGAATGCCTCAGCTCACTTGGTATCGTTAATTAAGGACATCTCACTATCTCCAGGTGATTTGCTCGTTAGTTTCGATATAGTCTCTTTGTTTACCAAAGTTCCTGTGCCTGGCACCATTGCGATCATTGAAGATTTGGTCCAACAAGGACTGAATGCTGATGTACCGGCCCTGGTGAGACACTGCCTCACCTACACTTACTTCACCTTGAATGGAACATTCTACAAACAAGTTGAAGGTACCCCAATGGGTTCTCCCTTATCTCCAGTTGGAGCCAATATTTTCATGGAAAAATTTGAGACCGACGCCATCCAGGCATCCACTCTACGTCCGTCCTTGTAGAATAGGTATGTAGATGACACGTTCTTCATGGCCGACCAGCTCTAAGCCAATTCCTCAACCACATAAATTCCATACACTCAGCCACCAAATTCACCATCGAGGTGGAAAAGGATGGCAAGCTACCATTCGTGGATGTTTTAATCAAAAAGAGACCAGATGGCTCAATGGGCCAATGTCTATGGGAAAGCCACCCATACAGATGCCTACCTAAAACCAGACTCCCACCACCATCCATCTCAGAAGAATTCCCTCATCAATACTCTACACCATAGAGCTCCATGTATTTCCGACCATCATCACCTAGCCAGTCAACTGGAACACGTACACCAAGCTCTCAAGATGAATGGATATTCAGACTACACAATCTGTAAAGCTATCACCCCAACCATTAGGAAAGAACCATCTGAGGACCCAATCAACACCATCACCTTGCCATACATAGCAGGGGTCACCAAAAAGATTTCCAAAATCATGAGCAAACACAAGATCCAGGTTCGATTTAACACAGTTAATACAATTCGTGATCTGATCCCATCTGTGAAGGATGTAATCCCTGACATGTAATACCACGGCGTCTACAAACTAAGCTGTGTCTGCAGCAGTAGTTACATTGGGGAAACGAAGCGATATGTCTCGGACCGTGTTCGTGAACATAAGGCAGATCTGAAACACAGTAGGACAAATACCTCGGCCGTGGCTGATCATTGTTTTAATGCGGTGGGCTCACACAAAATTGATTTCTCCAAGAAAAATACTTTACAAGCCCACTGGCTATCAAGAAAGATCCGTTCATGAAGCCATCCATATATATAGACACAGACACAATTTCAACTGTGAAGATGGGTACAAACTTAGCAATCATTGAAAGGACGTTATCAACCAGTTCAAGTCATAACTGGCTGTGATGTTCCCATCCTGCCACCTTCCGATGTTAATTGTTATTTTCAGCTCTCGGATATTACATTAACAGGTAAAATTTCTCACACAAACACAGCCACCTCCGCGCTCCGACCTCGGCTCTGCCACCTCAGCGTGCTCGCCGTGGAGGCCGCTCTCCATCTTACATTCACATGCTAATTTTTACCTGGCAGCCCTTTAATTGGTGGAAACCCACCACCAGCGCCGTCGCTGCCCATCACTTACATTAACATTAGTTGCCCCGCCCATGCTGCTGACACTTGGGCTACGCCCATTTTAAACCTTTATGAACAGTTTGCCTTTAGAGGCTAACCCCCTTTTCCAGATGACGACCGCTTGTGTTGCGATTGATACATCATAGTTTTTTGTTATTTTCTTTGAACCTATCTTCGTGACGTTACCGAAAGACCCAAATAATATTGCATTATATTTGTCTATTTAATTATCAAAGTCATTTTTTTACAAATGAGAGGCCACTGCTATAATATACAGTATATGTTGAAAAGGACAGCTGTGTAAACACTCGAGAATGTAATTGGTGATACTGCATTGGCAATGGTGCATAAGCACAATTAACAGAAACAATCTCCTATTCGTCAATAATACTACCTTAAATACAAAATATATAATCAGCAACGTTTCAGGCAAAGGCCCTTATTCATGGCCTGTGTATAAAATATGAGTACAAAATAAGTCCTTTGTCAATTCACTGCGTCAGTTATGGGGGTTTGCTTGTCTCAACTTCACCACTCTGGTCAGTGTTTGGGTTGGTGAAAGGTGTCACAGGATTCGTTCAGATATCTCTCTCCACTTATGTTAGCCTCAGCCGAATATTGAACTCAGGTCGCCGGGTTCACAGCTGTTTGCTAACCACTACACCACTGTACAGCTTTCAAGATTTAATTGAGAACAATTTTAACACTTTGAAGTTGTGCCAAGACACCACGCACAATCCACATACCCATGCTAATGTCACAGAATCTTTGATGTCCACTTTTGAACAGACCGACTCCTCCAGCAACACCTCCACCTCGCTGGATTTATGGACAGGTGCCAGAAAAAATATTCTGGCGAGCCCATATGTTAGTCGATCGAACTTCAAGTCATCTAATTGAATATGAAGTGTAAAACATGTCTGCTGTTATGCATGCAGGGTTCAAGACACTACCTATAACCATGCGGGTGCATGTATGATCTGATGCGAGTGTGACAGATCATTATGTTTACAATACGTGGGTCCCTGCTTGTCATGTAACACTTAACCGAAACCTAGCACACCCACATGTGCAAAACCAAAATCTTACATATACTATTACCTCAATCATTGGCACAGGCAATGGAAAAGGTAGGAGATGAGTGATAAGCATTTTTTCGTTGGAAGTTTATAAAATGGCTTTGCTCGTATTTTGCTTACATTTTCCATGTTTAGTGGAACACGAAAGTTGGCAGTGAATGGGTGGGATTTTCATCTTCTGTTATTCCTATTATTTGAAACCAATGCATTGAAAATAGCTGAGAGTAAAATGCAAGAACATACCACACTTTAACAAAAGCCCCAACATTTACAAAGATGATCCTTACTCTAAAACGAGTCAATTAAAATATCATTCTAAGTATACTACTTAAAACACTATATTTGCATTTTTCACAAAATAGGCATTTTATATTTTACATCGCAAGGTACAAACTAGAAAAAAAAGCTTTGAGATGAATAAGCCACAAACAGCAGTGGATGTTTACTTCAATACCTTAACAGATAACAAGTTCACATCTCTCTAACAAACTTGCA